GTCCAAAAAATTGGCTAGACTAAGTTAAGTTGAGTTGGAGAAACCAGCCCATAATCTCATTTGAGAATAACTCAAATTTTGTCTCAAATAATTTTTTTTTATTTTTAGGTGCGTTAGTCAGTGGTGATGACTCCAATGTTGGACCGAGCGAAGATCAGTGCCGTCCCTATATTGAAAAGGCGATAAACGAACTGAAAACAGGTGAACCGGGCGATGGTATAGGTAAGTGAAATAACGCATGTGCGTGTATATGTGTCCACCTGTGCATGCATGCATACATATACTACATATAGATATGTACATAGAAACATATATACAAATTTATGTTTGGACTTAAGTAATCATGAATGAATGCCAAAATGAAATTTGTGAAGCCTCAACCTCAGCACCTGCCTGTCAGTATGCACTTCATCTCAGTGTGTAACATGTAAAGTATGTGTAATATGTGGTTCTGTCGTGTTTTTTTTGCTTAACTGGCCCTCAGAATAGAATAGAAATGTACGTCCGTTTTTCATTTGGTCTCCATGGAAATTTACCATTCACAAAATATTCGCTTTTTCCATATTATTTTACATAATTTGCCTAAGCGTATGCATAAACACATACATATGTATTTATGTGTGTATGTATGTATGTATGTACTTTTGTACACATACATATGTATATGTATTTGTTATTGCTTTCTTTTCCTTTTTGGCATTCAACCAAAAGTACATTTAAGCTCCCCAAGTAATACGTTTAAAAATACATAAAATAATGCTATTCAATATATTTCAAATTGCCGTTATATTCATTTGCTTTTAGCTAGCTAAGTCTCTATATGTACATGCATGCATACATACATATGTATGTGTACTTGCAAGTGTACTGCCATACGCAACTAAGTTACTTTTAATTTGTCTAAATCCTTTTGACGGCCATAAACTTGTCCAAAATGCCATTATTTATGTATGTATTGGCTAATAATTTGGAATGACTTAGTGAGATGATGCCAAAAATAATGTGAGCGTATTTTTCACTTTGTTTCAATTCGTATGTAGATATGTAAATACATGTCTAGGTATAAGAGTACTTACCCTTGAATAGTCGTCCATTTTTTTTTCAGTTAAGCCGCCATACTCAAGTTTCAGCCATTCACGTTTAACACGCGTGGAATGGCAACTGTCAGCGTAAGTGCTAGTGGTCGAAAACTAAAATATATCCCCTATTCGGAAATTCAGTTTAACCAAAGCATCAGTGTCTTTTACTTCTAAACTACTATAATTGCTGGAAAAGTCCAATTTTCGCAACAAAGTTCCAATGCGACATCTACCCGCGTTTGCGCATATTGCACATTTCCATCAATTATAGTTAGAAATAATAGAGATCGATGCTTTGTTTTGCTGCACTTCCGAATAGCCCCATAAATACACTGAGCCAAAATTAAAATGGGTTTTTCAACCCATAGTTATTGGTAAATACACTGATTGTAAGAAATGTGATTCAAGTTGAACATTTGAAAATAAATTCGGCTTCCAGTAGGTTCAGGTTCGAATGCCGTCAGCGGCAACTCATAATTTTTATTTATTTTTTTCTGTTTTTCGTTTTTCTTAATCTAGAATTTTTTTAACTCACGATGCATAGGTATTTCGATGCAGATGTTTTGAAGTATCTCCCTCTAAACTTACTAGAGAAAAAAGGGGAAATTTAATTTTTTGCGAAAAAAGCCAGTCCTGTTATCGGGTGGCTTAAGCCGCCCTCAGAGTTTTTCCGAGATAATTATGACGAAATTGTCAGCTATTTACCGTACATTTCATTAGTTTTCAATTCACATTTAAGATATGCCATAACCGTTTCAAAGTAAGTTTGAGTTACCAATCGTTCCTTACATTCTTTCTTATAAGTTTAAGCTTCATTATTTTTCTCATATATTCGATAAAAGGAGATCTAATTTTCCCTTTAAACATTCTGAAGACCCAGTTTTATCGTTCGTGCTCCATTTTTTAGATTTGATTCGGTAAGCCGATTGTGGATGGTTTTAATATTAGCCTCTTCATTATTTTTTGGCCAATTTCAGTTTACTACCTCACAAAGAACCGAAATATTGCTTATTAATGACTCAGCAGACCGATATCTGAAACAGTATTTTATTTATTATTTCCATGCGCCTTCTATTCTAGGTGCTATACCCGTATAAGTTGAAAAGTTTTTAAATAAGTAGTCCATAAAGAGTCCATTTTTTTTGTACCACAATTCAAAGAAGCTCAGTTTGACCCATTAAGACCAATGTGAAAGCGAACGCCCAGAACAAAAGATCTACTCAAGCACACAAGCTTGAAATTGGCGTTAAAAATAAAAAAAAAACCCAACTACAACCAAGTGCCCGATGTGGGTTTTTTCTATCAGCCTTTGCAAAATAGATTCTTAGGTCCCACAGTGCACACCTTATAACAATAAATACCTATCTTAGAATGATATCTGACAATCGACACAGATATGTATACTACTTACGGTCACAAGGCAGTATTACCATAGCATATTCTGAAACTCACAGTTCATATTTATAGATAAATACTTCCCACCTCATTTTTTTATACCACCAGAGGCAGGTGATTTACCTATTGGCGACACGAATTCTGAACACGTTCAACATGGCGACAATGGCACAGATTCTGACGAAATGCAATCGGATCAACCGGCTGGCAATGAAAAAGAAAAGTCCATCGATACAGATAAGGATGGCATACCGAATGAAGATGATACCGACATCGATGGTGATAATAAGCCAAATGAGCAAGATGAAGACATGGATGGCGATGGTCTTTTGAATGAAGAGGACGATGATATCGATGGTGATGTGATACCGAACGATCGAGATCCCGATATCGACGGCGATGGTGTGTTGAACGTTGACGATCGGGACATCGATGGTGACGGAGTACCAAATGTGGTCGATCATGATCTTGACGGTGATGGTGTGCCGAATGTAGTCGATAGGGATATTGATGGCGATGGCGTGAGCAATGCCAACGATAATGATCTAGATGGTGATGGCATACCCAATGACGAAGATGATGACATTGACGGTGATGGCATACCGAATGATCAGGATGAAGATATCGACGGTGACGGCATACCCAACGATCAAGACGATGATATCGATGGTGATGGTATAGCTAATAGCGAAGATAACGATATAGATGGTGATGGCATACCGAATGATCGAGACAATGACATCGACGGCGATGGCATACCAAATGATCAGGATGATGACATTGATGGCGATGGTATTCCCAACGAGAAGGATGACGATATTGACGGCGATGGTGTACCAAATGGTGAAGACAGAGATCTAGATGGAGATGGCGTACCAAACGCTGAGGATGACGACCTAGATGGTGATGGCGTTCCCAACAAGGACGACGATGACATTGACGGTGATGGTGTATCCAATGAAGATGACACCGATATTGACGGTGATGGCGTGCCAAATGAAAGTGATGAGGACATAGATGGTGACGGCATCAAAAATGAACAGGACGACGACATTGATGGCGACGGCGTGGCCAATGAGCAGGACAACGACATCGATGGCGATGGTGAGCCCAACGAGGCTGATAAGGATATTGATGGTGATGGTGTGCTCAACAAGGACGATGTAGATATCGACGGTGACGGTATTCCCAATGAGAGAGACCACGATGTTGATGGAGATGGTATGCCCAACGACGAGGAACCCAAGAGTTTGGATATTGATGGCGATGGCATTCCCAATGATGATGACAACGACATTGATGGCGACCATAAGTTGAACGAAGTCGACGACGACATGGATGGCGATGGCATACCGAATGTACATGACCGCGATGTTGACGGTGATGGCGTGCCCAATTTACATGATGAGGACAGCCTCGAAGCGGAGGAGGCGGCGAAACGGCAAAAACGAGAGGTCGGTGCTGAACCGGCCTCAATTGAACCCGGCGAAGATGAAACCAGCCGTGAAAAAGCCGGCGATATTGATGGAGACGGTATACCAGACCATAAAGATAACGATAAGGATGGCGACGGCGTGCCAGATCATCAGGATGACGATATCGATGGCGATGGCATACCAAATGAACGGGACAAGGACAGAGATGGCGATGGAATTCCAAATGAGCACGACGACGATGATGGCGAAGATACCAAGCCGGAAGATGAGCTGTTGTGGGTAAGTTTGTTTAGAAAAGTACATGCGAGAATTAACGCTCAGGGAGGTGGGAAAGAGTTTGCGTTTGATTTAATTTTCACTTTCTTTTTTTTGCCTTGTAGGAAGGCGAAAAACCTGCACATCTGCGCAGTCGCGACCACATTACCGAGCTGCTGCAGCTGAACGACGAGCTCAACGCACGCGAAAAAGCTGTGGACAATGTGGCCGAGATTATTTTACGCGATATCAAGCGCATCTACGAAAGCGCCATTAAACCACTGGAAACCCTGTACAAGTACCGTGACTTGAGCAATCGCCACTTTGGTGATCCAGAAATTTTCTCTAAGCCATTGGTGCTGTTCATGGGGCCATGGTCGGGTGGCAAATCGACTATTATCAACTACCTGACCGGCAATGAATATACGCCCAACTCACTGAGATCAGGTGCGTCTCCACAATGGACGATTAAAGAATAAACATTTTTCATGCCAACCATTATACATTTGCAGGCGCAGAACCATCACCAGCGTACTTCAATATACTGACATGGGGCAATGAGACCGAGGTGTTGGACGGTACACAGCTAGCCGCTGACTATACCTTCTCTGGGCTGCAGAAATTCGGCCAAGGATTGGAGGATCGTCTACGTGGACTGAAACTGCGAAACAAACTATTGGAAAAGGTGAGCATGAAAAGAGTGGGCATTGGTGAGGGTAATCGCACTATGCAGGAGGTGTGTAATCGCTATATACAGTATTGGCCAATACAATAGCACCAACATTTCAAATTGATATTGTTTGCCACTCATGTTTATTTATTTATTTAAAGGAATTTTTTAAAAGTTTTTAAACGACTACACAAAAAAACGCGAAAAATGTTCATCTAAATTTCAAACTTTTTTTGCAGAAGTTTTAGAATTTTTTCGAGTACGCAATTTTATAACACATTCAATTTTAATCCAATAATGTGCAAGTTTTAAGTAGCTAAAAATTAGTGTTGATTTTTTAGAATTTTCGTCGCAACACCCCCTTCTTTCTTCCATATAAAAATCAATTGTGTAGCAAATGGGGAAAAAAAATCTAAAAAATCAACGGTAATTTTTAGCGACTTGAAACTTGCAAATTATCGGACTAAAATTGAATGGTTTATAAAACTCCGCACTCGAAAAAATTTCAAAACTTCTAAAAAAAAAAATTTAAATTTGGGTTTAAATTTGTTGCTTTTTTTAATCTTTTAAAAAGTTTTAAACTTGGCTTTATATTAGTTTTTTTTTAGAAAATAAACTGTATTTGAAAATTCCTAAAAATGAATAATTAAACATCAGTGCCAAACGGTAGCACTTTGAAAAGGGGGGGTGCTATAGATATGTCCAATACTGTATGCAGGTAAGGATGGCAGTGACGTCAATGTCAACGAAAACATGTACATAGATATTAATAATTTTTGCTGTGACGACCTCGAAATGGTCTTAAATACTACCAATTTATTGGCAGCAAAGACGCGAGGAGCGCAGCGATATTTAAATTAAAAATATTTGTTGAGAGACAAGAAGGCGAGCGCAAGACGTTTACATTGTAATATGTATGTAGTAGTGGCCGTTTATATTTGTTTATTAAATATAAATATTTTTAGAATTGTTTTTAAACTGAAAAACACAGCTAAATTTAATGCAGCGACTACTTCATATATGTAAGCGCCCATAGATACAGAGAAGCGTTTGTAAATTGCAAATCATGGACATACATATGTACATATGTATGTAAGTATATATGTATGCAGGCAGATATCTGAATTTGTTGCGCACAGTATGCACCCATTACAGCAGGTCCGCCATCGCTCAGCAACACACTCGATTATTTAAATTTTCAAGATTATGAGTGGAGTGAAATGTAGGAGAATCACTCGGGAGATTTTGTATCACTCGACATATCTGAGCTTCATTCAGCTCAACAATTGAGCAAAGTCGATTTGCTCAACAAGAATACTGCCGCTGCATTTGCAGATGTGCATACATACTATGTATGTATGTATCTGTGTATGTATGTTTGATGTTCATAGAGATTGCAACCAGTTAGAGGGTCTATTTCGAGAAAGTAAACAAAAGAAATTAATTTACGCTGCACCTATTTTCGCTCGCGTCGCTAAAATGCAGATTCAAATATTTGGCATAAATACATATGTACGGATGTATGTATGTAAATGCAAAAGTGCATTAACTCGACGCGATTTGCATGTGGCTAAATGATTATTTTCAGATGACTTCAAGATATGTAAATACAAATTGTATATTGCAGGGATTTCGCAATAAAATGTATCTACGCCCTTTTCTTTAATTGAGTATGGCGTTTGCTTGTGAAATTTAAATCCAATTCAGATGTATTAATGCGCATCTTCCCCTTATATGCCACTAGAAACCAACTGAAAACAAAAACTTTTGCCAATTGCCTCTATCGTTTGCGAAATTACGCCAGTTATTCTAACCAATTGTTGACGGATCCTTTCGCACATGATTCTTCCACTGAAGTCGTAGGCGCCTTCTTACTTTTGTCGTCCATCCACGACTGCCAGATCCAAGAATCGCGCGAACCATTTTGTATATGTAGAATAATTCTCTCGTAAACCCCCAAAAAAAAACCTTCTCATCTATAGTCGACATCCTACTAGTCTTTGCGGCATACAAATTAAAAAAATCGTTCGTCGAGAGAGGACCCAAAGTAGCACCTGTTGGCAGGAGTTATGCTCCAATTCATCTCCGGGCCATGTCGACAAAGTCTTTCAAACAGTAAAACGATATGTATAACTGCCAACAGGGGCGTGTTCCAATACGCGAAGTGGAGTGGAATAAGGCCCGCGTAAATAACGCCCATGGGCTTTCTTCCTAAAAACAAAAGAAATAAAGCCCGCGGGCGTTATTGCCTTTTCGAAAATGAAATTAAGCCCGCGTGCTTTATTGCCTTTTGTCGGTGGGCATTATTTCCCTTTCGCTATGGCAACAACGCCCGCGGGCTTTATTTCTTTTGTCTCCATTTTAGAATACATCCAAATCTAAATAAAAACTAATATGATATCATTGGACTAAATATTTGTTTTCCTTTATATACCAAGAAATTTAAATTAACCAATTTCAATGCATATATTTAATACATACGTATGTAGAATGTACATTACGGTGCCCATATAAAATCCTTTTTTTTTGGAAATTTCAAGTCTTTACCCCTAATTTGATTCGTTTTTATGAGAAATATTATTGACTATTTTTATAGAGAGGTCATTTAGAGGTCGCTATCTGTCGATTTAAGTAAGAAATAGGAATTTGTAGACTTATGAGTTTTTGAATACCTATTTTTGATTCGATTTCAAAGATCGAATATGAGCTGGGAAGAGAATATGGGATATGAGGATGGGCCTTTAAAATGGTATATAATAATCTGTTGTCGGACTAGGCTTGTGGGGTTTTTATCGGGTAAATTAAATAATTTCTACAATTTCAAAATGTGGAGTACTGTCTAAATTTAAATCTATTTTCAAATAAACTGATACCTCATTTATTGCAATCGCATAAAAATTGTCGAATTTAGGCGACTTTTCTTAAATAGGGCCTTGAATTTATATGGGTATGTACCGGAATTTCAGATTTTTTGAGCAGTTTGGCTAAGGAATTCATAAATATTTATTCAAAATTTATATATACAATCTCTTCTGATTCTACTGACTGTCATGTTCGCTGTGGCACGCGAAGTCTATTAGTTGCTCTCCGTTGTCGGAGGTGTCGTCATCAAGGCTGAATTTTCACGGCGTACCCCTTCAAAAAAAATTTATAAATATACATCAATCGAATACTTTACAATCTTTGAGGGGTCTATCGTTGTGTTCTTTTTTGCGATAAACTTTGAACTGTTCTTTTACCATTTTAGGTCAACATCGTTGAAATTCCTGGTATTTTGGAAGTACGCAAACAGGTTTCTCGCCTCTTCCCCTTCAATGACGCCTGCCAGTGGTTTATCGATCGCGCCGACATTATTTTCCTCGTCTACGACCCGGCCAAACTTGACGTTGGCCCCGAGACTGAGGCTATACTTGATCAACTGAAGGGACGTGAATATCAAACGCGCATCGTTTTGAACAAAGCCGACACCGTGAAGCCGGAAGAGCTTTTGCGCGTACAGAGCGCCCTCATTTGGAACATCTCTCCGCTGATGTCCTCTGCCCAGCCACCACTTGTGTACACGACATCGTTGTGGTCGCATCCCTATCAGGAGGGTGCACCGGCACGTTTGCTATTGGCGCAAGAGCGGGCATTCCTGCGTGACTTGCGCACCGCTGTCGACAAGAGGATCGAACATAAAATAGCTAGTGCGCGTCGTTTCGCTGTAAGTAGCAGTTTTATTTGCTTTCTATAAGATCTCCGTGACTACGTGAAGCTCGCCAATCATACTCCAAATTACTACTAATCACTTTTTGTTTTAGGTGCGCGTTCGCAATCATGCCAAAATGGTGGATTGCTACCTCAATACCTACTACAACCACAAGACCCTCTTCGGCAATAAGAAACGCATCGCTGATGAAATTATCAACCACCCCCAGAATTACCACATCTATGAGGGTTTATCGACGCTGACGAACATTTCGCGCTACGATCTGCCAGATCCCGAAGTCTATCGTGACTTCTTCCGCCTGAACCCGCTATACGAGTTCAAGAAGCTATCTGACACCTGCACCTACTTCCGCGGTTGTCCCATCCAAAAGCTGGATGTGGCGATCGCCTACGAGCTGCCTGAATTGGCTGGCAAATATAAGAAGATGGCCGAAACGGCGCTGACCAACATCGAGGAAAAAGGCGCTGCTGCGACCGCGCAAGGCGGAAAGGGTCACGGCAAGAGCACCAAAAGTTGAGGTGTGAACGCTTAAAGCTGCATGAAATTTGTCCAAAAACAAAGCTCTTTAAAATGATAGAAGAATCTAGAAGCACTGGACAAAGGCAGAACAAACGACACAGCTTTGTGCTTAAAAAAAAATGACACAGATTTTTGGAACGATACATTAAATAGCGTCCACATTGAAAAAAAATTAACCAACTAAAAATTTCCGAAATTTTACAAAATTGACGACGACTAAGAGAGAGAGACATTAGATATAACATAAAAGTGAGAGAGAGTGAGCGATCTAACAGCGAAACAATCAAATTTGCTGAAACTAGACAACTTAACGAGCCAAAACTTAACAAAAATAAAAAAACTGTTAATCGAAATTCCTTAATTGAAATCTACCAAGCACAGAAATCAGCTTGCACTAGAATTTTTTTAGGAAAAGAGAGAGAGAGATACCAAACTACCTTCTAATTTTGTAACGACTGGGAGGGACAGAGACAAAAGCGATAATAAAATAAAGTTTCAATATCTTTGGCATATAAGCTTTGGATTAAAATTTTCATTTAAGTATAGAGGGAGATGACTACACCAATACCAGTAACAAAATTAAACCGCTATTACTAACAGCACATTATTCTAACCACCAACCCATTTCGATCAAAGAGAAATTCGAAAAATTTTAACGAAACATTTGACTTCCGCAAGCAAATCAAAAAAAAAAAATATTAAAACCTTTGCACAACCATTGAAGGCATTTATTTTTTTTTTAAATTACGTGTTAAACTGTTCTGTAATAATTGTGCGCAATCCCGATTTCGTAAGTGTCCAAACAGTATGTTGCATCCTGTGTACTAAATATGTTTTTCGTTTTCTTCTGCACCAAATATGAGAGCTTTACTATAAGTTTGTGTGTTAGCAAAAATAAAATAAAATAATAATAAAAACATATTTTATTAAAATAAAAAACATTAAATGTAATTTTAACTACTATCACTGCACTGCACAAAATGCATTGTGAATTTTGACCCTGTCATAGTTAATAAGTTTTCTTTTTTATTTGAGTGAGAAAAAAATTTAGAAACTTGTAAAAAAAAATGTTTATAAAAATTGTAAAACCAACAGTGAAGACATTACATGATTTTTATAGCAAAAAATGTATCATTAAATCAATTCGTAAGCACTACGTCGATAAATTGATTTAAAAAGGGTTTAGCGAATTCATGGAAGATGACAAATCTGTGAGCTTACATTTTAAATAATGTAATGTTGGACATAATGATACACTCAGAACTGTAACAACAAATAAAAACAACTTAGAAAACACCAAAACCCATGTTTTATTTTTTTACCGGGTTCGCTAAAATCAGTAAGATTTTCCAATGTCGTCGTCGAGGGTCTACAAAGAATTTGAATTTTTCGAGTTTAATCATTCAAAATTCGGAGTGCAAATCATTATCACGAGCGCTGACCAAAATAGAAATATAATTAATTAAAAATAGAGATATGCACAGCGACATTCAGCAATTTGGTGACCTCTACTAACCACAACACCTCTTTCAGTCTCGCAATCCCTAGAAAGTTTAGCAGAGCTTCTGAACCTAGGCAGTATACATATGTTCTAATCCTTTGGCCACATTGGCCCAGACTTTCAGTAGGTGCAGTGGTGTCTCCTTAGCCGAGTCGCAAAGGCGAAAGAGGTATTTTAACAGATTTCTAGCTGGTAAAGATGTCCTCTTGGTCAGCAAAGGCCCGTGAGGATGCCCGTAAAAATCCTCCGGTTCACCTTAGGCAGGTTAATAAGAAGTCTGTTTATTTTTGGTTTATATCCCCTATTAGTCTTTTGGCTTAGCCAAGTTCCGTGGTGCTTGCCAGTTTTTTTCTCCCGCTCTTACTACTCCTCTTTTCCTTGATCTGTCCGCTACGTCATTTACTTCTCTTACACTGTGGTCTGGGTCACAGCTGGCTTACTTCGAATGCTTATTGGCAGACATACGTTTTGGCGAACATCAGTTCCGTACGGTTTTTACTTCTGCAGCGGTACACTTCATACCCGACGACAGACTCGTGGAAATCTGTCGAAAGTTCCTGGCAAAAGCTGCTGCTAAAGTGATACCGGGAATCTCACCCATCAGGGATATCCAGCGGAAGAAGAGGGAAGGAAGTATGTTGTCCTGAAACTTCAACTCTGGCGTGAGAAAGTTTTTGGTCATCTCGTATGGTCAGAAACACCTAGGCTCTACTTTAGCCAGCGAAGTGCAAGCGGCCATCGGGGAGACAAAAGCCTCCAAAGCAGAGACCAAAAATAACTGTCGAATTTACAAATTGAAAACGTTGCACGAATTCTGAAGTTTAACGAAAACGTTATTTCATAACAGTTATTAGATGAAAAACATTTTTTATTTCGCGATAAGAGTTATTTTCCAACGTTATTATTTACGTTGCTTGATAACAGTTAATGCCTAACGTTTTTTTTACGTTGCAGTTATTATCCAACGTTTACTTTTATGTTGTCTGATAAACGTTGTAAGATAAAAATATTGATGAAAACAGAGATGGAGAAAAAGGTAAAAATGATGAAAATAGAAGAGGAAGAGTGAAATAACAGACAACATAAAAATAAACGTTGGGTAGAAATTTTTTCCCGACAACGTGAAAATAAACGTTGGGAAATAACTCTTATTGGCGACGAAAAACATATCTCACCTACATAACAGTTATCAGGCAATGTAAAGTCGAATTAAAAAATATTTCTCATCTAATACTCGTTATTGAAACTTATAACTGTTATGTCCCTACTCCAAAGTCATTGGTCGTACGGCCGTGCATTTCGATTCTAAACCACATAAGTCCAGCTGGTGTAGGCAACCTCTCACGAAACCAACCACCTCTTTGATTGCACCCTTAAGTCCACTCAACTATAACCATTTTCCTTTTGGTTGTCGAACCATTTTCGAAACATCAGGCCCACCGTAGTAGTCGAGCTTGACGACAACAGAACAGAACAGAAACCAATATCACAGGGCTGCGAAATTTTACTTTTTTCTTCCCCCTCAAATAATTATGTTATTTTTTTTTTTAAATATCTAGGTACTTTAAATTAACCCAAATCGCCCGTGTCGCCATATGGCAACGCAAAATAAATCATGTATGGTGTAAAACAAAAACCGCTCACTTAGGTTAGGTAAGGCTAATCTGGCCGGCGTTAAGCTGCATATAGACCGGTAGGAGCTCGTTTACGCGTTAAAGTAGACATCACAAAGTTTCAGTTCTACTTTTGAAATGTTCTCTAACTTCTCGAATTAATAGGTTTTGAAGCATTTTAATCGTGTTTTTGATAGTGCAGGACATCGGCAGAAAACATGTATCACGGTTTCCTGCACCTGATTATACTAGGGATATCCTTATTTGTGCATGAGCGGCCACCAATATATTTCCCCTAAGCAATACGGTAATAACTCTGCAAACTTTCGTTTGCACATTGCTTCGAGTCCCGGAAACTTCTCCATTGCGGCATTCCTCCACACCAATGCATTAGGGCAGAATGAAGGGCGTTACTGGCCTTCTTTACCTTTTCGTCAACATTGCGCTTTCACAGCAGTATACAATCCAAGACTACTCCCAAATACTTTATTTGATCTGTAATTGACAGCTTGATGCTACCTAGCCTCGGGGGTCTGCACACTGGGACCTTATATCTTCTTGTGAAAAAACCACTAACCCATTCAAATTGACAAAAATCGTCGTTGTGCTTCTTTTCCTACCAAAAATTTACTCCTGTATGCCTTTTGAACGTAGAATACGCATATATTATTAATAAATGAATTAAAACTTATAAATAATGATTTTAATATTTCCCATGTTAACCAAAAACTGTCTTCTCACGATCCATTCTAAATACGCCCCGTGTTGCCATATAGCAGGAATTCCCAAACTTTTTTCACCGCGGCACCCTTGTTGTGCTAAAAAAATTTCGCGGCACCCGCACTCTTCAAAAAAAAAAAAAACAAGAAAACACAATGCACACTTTTTGCCCCTTTAGCTTTAATGTAAGGACTGGAATTGTTTTGATGATTTCATTATTTCTTTTAAGTTTATTGGGACTTTTGACAATTTTACCCTGAAATCATTCTATGCTGAAAGCTTGCTAGTATATTTGTTTTTTAACCGACTTCCAAAATGGAGAAGGTTATCAATTCGTCGGAATATTTAAAAAAAAAAATGTATGTATGTTACCGCATAACTATGGACCAGGTTAACCGATTAACCGGCTTGACAAAGCAAGCGAAATGCCCTTGTGTATGAAAAGTTTAAAGAATTTGCCCGCACTAGTATGCTCTAGCCACTAACGGCACCCCAGGCATACGCTGGCGGCACCCCAGGGTGCCGCGTCACCCACTTTGGGAAAGCCTGCCATATGGCAACGACCGATATCGGACGAACTATACTACTCCCAAAGATTTAGTCATATTTTTTCCTTTACTTTAAAGCTATTTTTACCCTGTATTATATAGAAGAAAGCAAAAAATAAAATAAACAAATGGTTACAAACTGGTTTTTGCGTATACGCACGTATACAAACAGATCTGCAACTTCTAATCAGATTTTTTTGAAAAATTCCAGGTATGCAGTTTTAATAAAGTGCATGTTTGAAGTTGCTAGAAAATCGCGTAGATTTTTGGCGATTAATCATAATTAGATGCAAACTTTAACTTTTACTTCAGTCCCGAAAGCAGTTATAGATTCAATAATAAGTTTTTGATATGTTAAAAATCCCCGATAGTTCCATTAAACACGGGTTGACAGACTTAGAACTACTTTCGATAAAATTTTGTAATGATGGGCTTAATGACAGGAAAGCTACTTTAAGAACAATTAAACAAATTTATTGGGAAATGCTAACGTTAGAAAACAAAATACATGTTAAAAAATTGCAGGTTTAAAAATATGACAAAATCTTTCTTCGAGCAGTACCTATGAGCGGCATGCACTATTTCCACCGCTCCTCAAATTTGTTTTACCGCATTCCATTTTTCATTGTATCGTTCTTGTGTCAATAAAATTCGCTTAATATTTTCACAATCCTCAGGTTTTGGCAATACAATGGCCACATAGCCTTCGCCTTCGGCAGCAGTTTCCAATCCTTTTGGTTCGCCAACCCATTTTGTGTTTACTTCAACTAGTTTGCTTTGTACACAACTGGGTATCTTATAGGTTTTGTCCTGCTCTGTGGTCAGTATTGCTAATGTTGAGTCATGCTGCAGCACCATACCGCCCTTCTTACCTTTTCCTTTCACCGTATTTTTGCTGCGATCCGTATTTCCAATATCAAAGGTCAATGATTTAATGCCCGCTTTTAATGCTGGATGTTCCGGAGCTAAGCAAATTAAGCAAACACGATTTGAATGAAAGAGTACTTGATAAGGCGCTGGCTCTGCGCCATCCTTGATGTAATAGTAGCGTGTAAAAAAACGGTCAACGACACTGGGGTAATTTTCAACCCAATCGTCAGTTATGGGCGGCACTTTAATGCCGCCAATGATTTGCGGATCGTGTTCATAGTAGTAGGGTAGCAGTGGATCTGTCGGGTTCATGAATATTGGGATGGTGGTGTATTTTGATGTGTAAGGACGCAGACGGCTATGAAGAAACCAAACGTTCCCTTATGCGCGCTTGTCGTTCCGCCGCTTTGATGCGATTAGCTGCACCACGAGCCTGACGTTCACGCTTGAGGCACTTCACTAGTTGGGAATCAATGTCGTTGCAGACTCCCAAAAACTTGCTGAATTTGTTCTGAAGACATATTTGTTGATAATTATATAAGCAACTAAAAGCATTAAATACATGGAACTGAATATTTATTTACCTCTGAGTGACAATTATTGAGCTGCTCGATTAGTTGGTTGCATTCGGACGTATGCAGGTGAGGCGATAGATCCGTATGCATGCTTTCCGAATAGAATCAATAACAAAACAATCTGCACTTTTTGGTTGCTTTCTGGCAAATTGAAATGTCAATTATGTATAATTGATTAGAGCTGCCAAGCGCAAATGAAGGAAAGTAAAATCGAGCATATCCCAGCCAGAGGCAAAATAAATTTAACAGAACTTTTCTCATCAAAGTGAATGGATTTTTTTTTACTTGTTAGACCAACACTTTGTGTTAAACAACGAAATGCCGACGGCTTTTTGCGTTTATGATGAGTAAATTTTTATGCTTTAAATTGGTTGATTACTTAAAATAAATGCTTGCATAGAAGTCGAAATTATTCTGAGGTTTATTTAACAAGGCGGTGTTGCGGCGCCAGCTGAGTTTGGGTGGTTGTGCACATTTGGCTTTTTTTAATCTGATTTTTTGTTATACATTGGCATATTATGCTAAGTTTCTATAAATTATGATTGTGCTAAAACAGGATGAATTGTGCCAAAAGTGCCTCTGAGAATGAAAGTGCCAAAAATGGCATATTGTGCCTACATTTCCATCACTTACCTCTGTTTAGCATGGCGGTGTTCACGGTCGCAGAATTAGCAACACGTGTATAACAATCAGCTGATTACAAATTTGTATAGGTAAATCCGCCTTGGGTACATCAAAACTAAACAAAGTGATAATTTGATCGTATTCATTTTTTATTTAGAATATTTATTCTATAGAAACACAGACCATGTCGGCGAATAAGAAGAAAAATATTATTGCTATGGAAGAAGATTCAGCTGATAATTCAGACAGCTCAAGCGAAGATGATGGGACACATCCTGATGCCTACACCGGCAATGAGGTTTGCAAGAAATTCATAAAATTGAGAAACTTATCCATTCTTCAAAATTATGTTAGGAAGTTGAAGTCGATTTTGAAGGGCGTGCACCTACTGATCCCGATCGCCATGGCATATCGCAGCTGCTACAAAGGATTTTTCTTAAGGCGCCAATCGACACCATGCAAATGGCAGAAATGATAATTGGTATGATATTTCAAAACACTTTATAGCTGCCTCTGTTGTTTATGCCCCTTTTAGGTCAAAATTATGTAGGCAGCGTAATATGTCAGTGCGAACAGGATGGTGCAGAGAGTGACGTGGACGATGATATGGTTGAAGACGGCACAATATTTGGTATTACAACGGTCGTCAACATGACTGCGAAAAAGGATGTAGCATGCGTTGAACAACTCCGTGGATACATAGTGCAGCGCGCAGAAAAGCATGCAACAGATGCAGTTTTAACGCATTTCCGCGATGTACTTGACAATGAGGGACGACCGGTTGGTTTCCTAATCAATGAGCGTTTTATAAACATACCTGCCCAAATTTCGGTTCCACTACTGGAAAATTTACATAAGGAAGTGTTGGCAGCCAAACAGAAAGGAATGAAATTTAATTTTAGCTATTATTTGATGATTGTGAAATTGTATCGGAAAGAGGCACGAAAGGGGAAACCTACCGAGGATACATTTACCAATGCTGAAGAGGAGGTGATATGTTCCAAAGCAGTTAACTCCTTTGAGTTTTCTGTGGTCGACGAATGCGATGTGGGTATGAGTGGAGATTGGCTGGAAGGTGATGCGACGCTAACACCCTATAGAAAAATTATTTTGTTTGATGCTAAACAGCTACCAGAATTGATTGACGATGTACGAAACTTTATTAACGGAGTATAATTTAAAATTGCATTCATTTTTTATATCTGGTAATCAGGCAGGTTCGGTAATTCAATTTCGAGTGAATTTCAATTTATTCGCTTTGAATACAATCAATCATCGGGAGTGAATTGCAGAATCTGCATGAATATATGTACATATACGTTTTTGCTATTTTAAATGTAGGGATGTTATTTTACATATTAACGTTTTGTGAAAATGCTATGTATGTATGTATTTCAACTTAAAGTCTTGGCGTGGTATAAAATATTTTGCAAACTATCTTCCGGATTTTTCTGATTGAATATAGAACCTGTCAGATGTGGTTATGCAATAATTTTCAAAAATGTCAAATTAAGAAATATCTCTTTCATTTGGTACCCACATTGTTCTACATTGCACTGGATTTTTTGAAGCAATGATATCTTTGAAATTACAAGGTCCTTTAATAAAAACCTGACGTAAGAGAGGAACGACAAACGCAGTTTTACTACACTTTCGTAAGTTTATTTATTACTTTTTTTTTTAATAAATAAGCTAACTCGATTTAAAAAAAGCTTCAAAGTAGCAATAGCTAGACACAAATTTCTAGAGCTTAACATCGCAAATAATAGCTAAATGTAACTACAAATAGGAATGATTTAATCAAGGTCGTTTGTACATTGAATTCCCCCAAATCCAAAGTCATTCCCCGATTCCCCCGAGAAATTCAATTTTCGCCGAAATCGGGGAATTCTCCGCGGCCTGGCATCACTGATGAGCAGTCACACCTTGCAGGTGAAGTGTCTTTCGAAAATATTTCTATGTCTGAGGCTCTTAAGGCTCTGTCACACGATCAGTAATTATCACGATATTTGGATCGCGATCCATATTGATGGATCGCGCACCAATGCTACATGTTCAATATTTATCACGTCAGTATTTGCATAATTTTTGTGCTGAATGCTTAATATGGCGCAAGAAAATGTTTTTATTTTGTACGTATAATTTACAGATAATGCATTCCACAATTATTTTAAAATTTACCATGTAAATTGAAATTTGTTTTGAAATTTGAGGTTTAGTAAAAGCTGTTCTTGTTAAACCCGAAAATCGTGGAGTACGGGAACAGGCTAACCCGCTTTTTTGGCTGGCCCTTTTGTGATCGGCTTACAACACTGAGTCGAACAGCTGTTGACACAATCGCATGGTTGCAATTTTTCACACGAAGAAGAAAAAAGGGTTCGCATTTATAGGTTTCATAACTTTAACTAACAACCGGTTCACCACTGTTACATTTCACCTGACGACATTTGCGTAATGACTAATTCATGACAAGCTCATTACAGCATTTCTTGTTTTATACTATACCTGGTTCACGGTTTTACGGTGTTTATATCAAAGAGTATAGAAAACAAAGAAGATGCATAGTAGTAGCTCACGTTCCAACAAAGCGCGGCTAGTTCACCCCTCGGACGACTGTCTTCAATAGCAAGTAACCAGCCGAGTGGTGAACTTGCTCCATGTGCTCTGGTAAATGCTTCCCGACCAGCATATTTCACCACCCTTGTTATTAACCGGGCTATTAACCTTGCTTTTTACAACTCTAGCTAATAACCGGTTCACGATTAACGTACCTGTATATAAAAATTACTAATTTTTTACAGTGCACCGGTAAATGTAGTGATAAAAAAGAGTCGGACAAAAAATTGCATCAAATTGCATTTAGGAACTCACTTTCATATTCTTTGAATAGTAGATTACTCATTGCAGTTTAATTTCAGAGGTAAGCAACTACGAGTGAATGGTAATCAAAGTTCAGCATGAATAAATTCGACCGCAGTAGAACTTCTGATAGGCACTCTTTTGGCATGTGGTTTGTAGCGTCTTGAGTTGTATAAGCCCAACTGATGAGGAAACCCATATGGCATTTCTCTCATAGCTTATATGTAAAATTGCAATCTCTGGTACCCAGCTCGGCATCTATAAATGCAAATTTTTTCTCTTCTGCTCATTAGTCTTGTCTTCTCATTGCAGTTGGCTCTTGTTTGAATCCAAGTTTTAGTTATACGGAGACAGTCCTACACTATTCACATCGTGACGCAGAGCTTTCTGGTTGGCCAAAAGAAAACCGGCTTTTAAAAAAGTATTTGAAATAAGCGAACAAGAAGCACTTGTTTGTAGCCGCTTTACAAGGAGAAAGTGGACTTCTACCTTCCGCCATGGGAATTGATAGGCAAGTAAATTTTAAACTATGTATCTAGTTATATATCGTCACCTGAAATGCAGAAATAAGTAACAACATCTTAGGTAAATGAAATGGAATGTCGTAAAAATATTTTAATTTTTTTCATAAAATGGTGTGTGTGATTTGTTGTAATTCAATGAAATTCATCATATGATAATTTTTATCATGCATCATATATGTAAGTAAATAAAGAATTTTGTGTTTTTTATTAGTTATGACTTTATGCATTTCAACGATGAAGTTTGTTACGTCTTTTTTGCATTTCAGGTGACGATATGTATTGTAGCCTGCGTCAATAAAATTGCATATTCGCACTCACACGGGCTATTGGAATATGTACCTAAGTTTTTATTTTGCTATGGCGGCTTTAAATATTAATAATAATATGTAGTAGAATCGCTCTCTCACTCAAATGAATTAATCAGTCGGAAGATAAACCGGCATCATAAAAATATTGCAGTCGCAAAGTAATCTACGCCGCAACAGCCGGTTTGTAGCTGCCTTGGAATACAATGGCTCGAAATTGTTTTATTGGAATATTCAGTTAGGCACCAATCGTTGTCGTTAGTGGTTGGTTTTATACATTTTGTTAACACATTTATTTTCTTAATAAAATCCGTTAACATGGTTACTGATACGTGAGTGCTGTTTGCTTAATTTCAATTGCAGTTTATCTCGTACCAAAAGTGCAGTGTTAAAAACAATAATATGTACATATTATGACAAATTAATTTTTCACTTACATATTTCTAACAACAGGACTGATTTCATACGCGTATGAATATAATATATACATATGTTTAACGCTGTCATTTAAAAATTCACAATATATAGTCAGCTAGTATAGAACAAAAATTCCGAAAAATTCTACAGTTTTTTTTGTTTTAATGCTATTTATGCGGTTTGCGTGATCAGATGTTTTAATTAGCAATAATTTTTTTTATTGTTTTTGTATATACAAAGGTACATATATACATAAGTATGTACATACAATGGGGGTTGGGTAGCTCATATGCACAAACATATATCCCATCTATTGTTTTCTAGCTATTGATAGATATGTACATATGTACATACATGTGTAGTAAATAATTGCCCAGTTGCTTTTCTTAGAAAACTACATATAATACAGTAAATCCACAAAGTTTTGGTAGAGTGATTATTTTGCAATAGGGGCAACTGTTTTTTAATTATTTTATTTTTTTGCAATTTTTTTATAAAAATGTGGTTAGTTTTACGACCAAGACCCCAAAGTCTAGCTCTTTGCAAAATTAAAGAAAAAAAATTGTCATCTTTCACACAGATTGTTTTTAAAGCATTATGAACCATATTTTTGCTATTACCAATTAAAATTCTAAAGAGCGGATTTTCGGCCCACGCTAATATCCATCCATATATGCATTCTTGATTACCCAAAGATTAAAAAAATCCACCTCCTTAGTAAAAATTCTATATCAACTAAGTGCTGCTATGTGAACTGACTAATTGCAGATAAGATTAGATTTTATAAGATGTAAACTCAGTCAGACATTCCATTCAGCATTTATTTATGTATTTTTAAATATATACAGTGGCTGCAGCAAATAATCGGTCAACCTCTATTTTCATAAAATCATTGTATAAAGCATAGTATACACATCTCAAGAAAAAGCGCGCAATAGTGAAAGGAATTTTCTTCTATAAAATTTTTTTAAATTGCAACTTTCAAGAATCTAATGCTCATATACTTATTATATATTTATGTATGTATTTCTTCAATAAAATCTAGACACAATTTTGTTGTAAATAAGAAAACGCCATAAGCTTAAACATAAGATAAATCACACGCATTTTTTTAAGGTACTCTACACGGATGCGAACATATTCAATGTAGATGCTCGAATCACTTTATTTTATGTCCACATTTAAATGCATTTCAACATTTTTGCCAAAGGTATCTTTAACGTTTCAATGTTATAAAAACGTTCACGTGGAATCAATTAGTTTTAATACTGCCAAGTATTGAACTTAAAATAACCAAAATTGGTTCAGTCGAAGTTTAAAGCAGTGTAAAATATTTATGATCATACTTTGTAATAATAAACACCTGCACAAATATGCGAATGCTTAAAAATATATGCACATAAATACATATGTATGCCAATTCGAGATATATGTATGTACATACATACATAAGTATGTATGTATGTATATTCATTATTTTTCTCATGCATGTATGACATGCGTGTGTGTCTCTGTTGGTTTTAATAATTCGCTTTACGCCTCCTTTCTGGACTGATAAGGTAATCAGTAGCATTTCATTTGTGCTCATAAATTATACTATAGAATATACGGCATGGCATATAAAGGTTTATTGTTTATAAGTTATACCTACATACATATACATATATGTATTTACATGAGGAAATGAGTATGTGCAAGAAAGCCTTTAATTGTAAATGCTATGCATATGTACATACATACATACATACATAAATAAAACGCAAATGGAACATTTCGCACAATAAAGTGTGGATTGGTTTGATAAAAACGTCCACTTGCTGCACATACATACGTATGTCTATATGTTGGTACATGTGCGCTATATTAATAAGTATTTATAAGTTTCACCATGCTATCGCTACATGTAGAAGTATTGTGAATTGTGTTTCTAAACTTCTTTCACCTTGAACTTAAAAAATTGGATAATTGAATGCCATCTTTAACTTTTCTCCCATGCTATCAGATTGCTTCCTTGCAGCGTTAAAATTGCAAAGCTGATTCAAAAGTCCAGCTGTGATGTACTCTGTATCATCGATCGTCAAGTGCCGGCTGAGTTGGCGGAACAATTTAGCGAGTTTCGAGCATTTGATAAGGCATTCGATAGTGTAGTTTCCTGCTTCAAATCGCAAAAGTTGGACTTGCCCATAGTTTATTCACCAGTACAAGAATTGACAGATTATCATGATGTGCGGATGTATCAAAAAGCGGCAGCTAAGTCGTTGGAGCGAGCAATTAAGGTGAAATAAAGTAATACATTTTTAAGTAACAAGATGTATGTAGATATTTTTGTATA